ATTCCGGTGAGCATGAAAAAGTTTAATAATAGATCTAACCAATCAAGGAAGCGATCGGCATCATCGTCCCCCTGCCACTCCTTAGGTTGAGCCGGCTTCTGATTCTTTATGTTCTTTGAAGGGACTCTATAGGAGTCTACATATCTTTTAAACATTCTAAGAATCCTTTTATGATATAGTTCTCTCAATGTTATTGCAGAAAGATCCTCTTGCATGGGGATGTACGAGCCCTCGCGATTGGGAATGTTCGGTCTCTCCGGAGGTTCGCGCCCGGGGAGACTTCTGTTCTCACGGCTGTCGTCCTCAGATCCTGATCCGGGGTCTCCGCCTGGCGCGGCCCCGTGGTTCCTCCGAGAGTCTATTGGGGGTTCTCCCCTCCTATTGCGATTTGGCCCTCCCCGCGGAGTGCGCCGGTCCCCATTATCATCTGGGTCGCTGTCCGAGCTCCCTCCTGGGTCTCGTCCGTTACGTCTCCTGATGAATTCGATAGGTACGGTCTGAGCCCTGGGAGAAGAGATTCGTGATAACATGCGCCAATCGCCGGCATATCGGCTGGCTTCTGGGGCTGTTCCGGCCCGGCTAGGGATCCTGTGCATGTGCGGCGGTATGTCGCGACGATCATCCTCAGCATCTTCGGCCTTGGACACCTCGTGGTCGGTCTCGGCTCTCAGGCCCGTAGCCTCATGCTCTGTGATCATCAGGTGTTCCTGAAGCGTCATCCGCCGTTTGTCACGTTTCCCGCTGTTGCTCGGCTCGCCCTGCGGTTCTCCGGGCGGTGTTTGGCCTTGCGCCGCCTCGAGTCCTTCAGTTGGCGCGATGTCAAACCACCTCGGATCGCCGATATCCTTTACTTTCCCTCGCTTCATGCGCCTTTTCAGTAGCATGAGGTACAGGTAAGTGTCATTTTCCTTATCTTCAGTTAGCTTGATCAAATTGTTGATATCATTAATTCGGATCGGCATATTGCCGCCTCTTTCCCACAGCGTGCGCGCAAGGTCTTTCATTCCTTGCCGCTCTTCCGGTTCAGAACCGTAAGTCTGGGTAATACTGCTCACATGGCTCTCTGATCTGATGTCATCATTCAGATCATTCTGATTGGCCGTAGTATCTACGGTACTCTTCGGCGCCTGGCGCCGATCTCTGGGCGGTCTGCCCTCTACTCGGACGTCCGGTAGGATCGTCCCACTTCTCAACGTACGCGGTAGCGTAGCGTCGGTTACTGTATCTACAGGCATTGTACTAACCTCTTAGGGTGCTCAAAAAAGTGTAATATAGGCGTGAGGGGGCGAGGCGGGCGGTGGCGGTGTCACGACGCGCCTCGCAGGCAACAGAGCAGGATCCGGTAGTATAGCAAATTAGAATGTAGATACAGGCGTGCAATCGAGTCTTTTATATTCGAGACACCATAGATATCAGAGATAATCGTATCTCAGATATCAGGCGCCCGGGTGGTAGAGTTAAGCACGCAAGGTTTGACCATATGGCGCCCAACGGGCGCGTCATCATTGTGATTTCTCAGTCGCGGCGGAGCCGCGACCGTTCTAAGTTTATTCTACGGTTAAACTACGGAGTACTCCGTTACACGTGGGTCCCCAAGGGCGCTCACATCCTCGAACGTCCGATTTACTCTGCTATGGACTCCGTTGACCACCATTCCCGCTCGACCTCTTCGAGGAGGGCATGCTGAATGACGCTTCAGCTGTGAAAGCTGGGTTTCTCATTGGCCAATTGATTGAGCACCTAGACCGAGGCGCACCGCCTTTATCAAGGCGGTGTCTTTGAGCTTTCTCCAACAGGGATGGTCGGTAGGTATGGGAAAACGGATGTACGTGCTGCAATGCTACCAGAGTTGCCTGTCGCCAAGAATTCGAGCTCCCATGCTAGCATCGCGATGCTAGCCACCTATCAACCGGAGCTCACTTCTTCCAATAGAGTCAGGCAAGTGCCCCTTTCTCGGCGCTTGTTCGAAGTTGGGTCGAAGCCCTGAGGTGCGGATTGCGGTGCTGAACCTGATCCTCTCGCTTTCTCTGAGGTAAATCTCGGGCCAATCGATCAGTATTCAGGTACGGGTGGATATCCCCATCGAGGAAGGATCCGCCTCCAAGGGTATGATCAACTGCAGAACTTCACGTTCTCAACGGAACCACTGGCACGGGTACAACATGTAAGCCCTGCGTCCTGCACGACACATCAAGCCTTAACGATCTTGTTCCTCATGCACATCCCTCGCGAGACTCATCCCGCTTCGTGTCTTCACAGTGCGTAGATCACTGTCGTACCTGCCTATTAGTCGACTAACCCTTAATCCAATGTGTATGTTCAGAAGATGCGAATGAAAACATCGTAGCGTTTACTGACCGATTTGACACGGCGAGGTTTGTCTTCTTTCGTCTATCTTCTCAAACGTCGTAAATCTTGGGGCCCAGTGATACGGAACTGGAAACCGCTCTCATACAATGGACCTTGTTCATCGACTGGAACAATACATCCTCTCTGGATCCTATTCTCCACACCGAGCTGGCCGAGCTATTGCGACTTCGACACAAAAGCCACGGCCATATGGGAGATCTGGAGGCCAGTATGCGACTGCACAGTGATGTCCTAGAGCATCCAGGGCTTCCGGTCTCATTCCGTGTTGCTGCGCTGGACCATCTTGCTTTCGCCACTGCCGAGCATTGGTACCTCACGGAATTAACGGAAGACCTCCACAAAGCTATCGATTTATACGAAGAATCCCTTTCTCTCTGTGACAACAGTTGCCCTATCAGAGCGCGAATTCTGGGAGATCTCGGACTTGCGCTCATCTACCTAGATTCGTCTGGGACCTCATCTATCGTGCGAGCTATAGCACTTCTCCGCGAAGCGTTGGATACGACTTCAGAGACCACGCATCTCTATGCATCGTTGAGCACCAGGCTTAGCATCGCCCTCGAAAGGTTTTTCCGGTATCACGACGGCGGTATCGAACATATATTGGAAGCTGTTGCGTCTGCCCAACATGCACTTCAAATCTTCCCTTTTTGTCACAGAGATCGACCTGCTAGTCTCTTAGCAGCAGCCGTCGCGACGAGTGCGCTGCACGAAATACGACAGAAGGACGAGGACCGAGAGGACACTAGATTGTACTACCGAATGGCTCTGTCTTTACAATCTCCGACCCATCCTCGCCGGGCTGCGGTTGCTTCCATGCTAGGGTACATACTCTGTACCTCGTTTGACAGCTCTAAAGGCAGCAGGGCTGACCTCGACGAAGGTGTCCGGCTCTGTCGGGAGGGGCATGCACTCAATCCTTCCTTGAACGCCAAACGTCGATTCCCGACGAGCACGCTTGCCGTAGCTTTAGCGTGCCGTTTCTCTTTCTTAGGGAATCGAAACGATCTCGATCAATGCATCGAGCTGTATGCTTCGCTACTGGACGAAGATGACCTTCGAGACCGACAACGTTACAGCGACCTTCACAACTTAGCCCACGCCCACGAGCTTCGCTTTGAGTCCTTCGGCGACGCGGATGATATAGTACGAGCCATCGATTTGGGACGCGAGGCACTCAACCACTGTCCGCGGGGGCATCACCACCATTTCCTGGCCGTGCTGGCTCTTGGAAAGCGTACGACGATGCATCCAGAGCCATCGCTGTCTGACCTCGACGAGGCGATCAAGCTTCACGAGGATCTACTTGCGCATGATAACCAAACGACAAAAGGTTTCCGTTCTCAGGTTCTGCGAGGTTTCGCCCAGCTTCTGCGGGCTCGTTTTGAGCATTCGCATGATCAGGACGATTGGTCGAGATCGATGCACCTTTACGAGGCATCCGCGGAGGACCATGATGCGCCCGACGTCGAGCGATTCATGGCAGCAAAGGACTGGATATCCGCAGTGCAACATGATGATCCTAACACGGCAATGAAAGCGTATCGACGCGCTATCAGCATGCTCCCTTACTGCACTTATCTCGGTTTGGACTTGGCGTCGCGGCTAGATTCCATGAAGCGAGAATTTGCATCTTTGTCCTGCGATGCAGCGGGATGCGCGTTAATGATAGGAGAGGTCGAGGAAGCCGTCTCCATGCTCGATCAAGGAAGAGCTATCTTCTGGGCAGAGAGGCTCCAGCTCAATGTGTCATTGGCTGGCTTGCCTGAAGACATGGCAGATAATCTCGCTTCGGTTGTCAGGATGATCGAGGATCACGGCGACACTCAATCATCGGACATCTCTGGTGAACAAAGGATGATCCAACGACGGCAACACCACGAAGAATTCAAGAGACTCGTGAAAGAAGCTCGTACTTATGCACATTTCAGGGACGTTCTCTTGCCATCGGAGTTCGGGGAGCTTGCCGAGGCTGCAACAGACGGACCAGTCGTCCTGCTGCTGTCTAGCGAGCGTTATGGATCTTCCGCTCTCATCGTTTCGGGCGCGGGTAACCCCGGAGTGGAGCATGTCCTTCTGAAGGTGACCTCGAGCGATCTTCGATGCATGGTTTCATCTCTTGAGGATTGCGTCCATCGCGCACGGGGCTGCCTGCAGGAGGAAGCATTGGATACAGTAGAAAGGCTCCAGTTAAACCGCAAGATGTGGGCGTGTCGACAGGAGGACAATCTATTGAGCAGGCTGTGGACCTTGGTGGTCGAACCTGTAGTACTGCGCCTTGGAATCCAGGTGCGGGAATCGTCCACTGTTAAGGATGCGTCATAAGCTGACTTTTTACAGAAATGTACGGATTATGATGACCGACCTCGCATCTGGTGGTGCTGCGCAGGACCATTCGCGTCATTGCCCATACATGCCGCGGGCTTGCCTGGGCACGAGCCTCGATTCCTGTCGGACTTCGTTGTCTCGTCGTTCGTTCCTACGCTGACGAGCCTCATAATGGCTCGCAAAGGATCGGGTCAGCCGTTGACCTCGGCGCACAAGCTTCTGATCGTCGCCGATCCAGATGTAGAAGGAACTGCTCCGCTGCCCAACGCTCTCGAAGAGATCAATATGATCGAGCGCAAGGTGCTGCAGGGTCCATACGACGCGTGGCGCTTGAAGCTGCAGATACGTCCTTGCATGGCAGACGTCTTGAACGAGATGCGAGACGCGTCGATCATCCATCTAGCATGCCACGGCCACCAGGATCGCAACAGCCCGCTTGACAGCGGGTTTACCCTCCGAGACGGCCAGCTGACGGTATCGGAAGTGATGCGCCTGAAGCTCCCAAATACACTGTTTGCGTTCCTCGCTGCGTGCGAAAGCGCTACGGGTGACCGAGAGCAACCTGACGAGTCGATACATCTCGGCGCAGCGATGTTGTTCATGGGCGTGAAGAGCGTCATAGGAACGTTGTGGTGAGTCCCCCAGGGTTTCCGAGAGGTCTCGGCTGACCCCACGTTCAGGCCGATGAACGACGCGGATGGACCTATGGTTTCTGAGATCGTTTACGACGAGCTCTTCAAGAGCTATCCTCGTCTAGACATGCAGCGAGTACCGTACGCATTAGACGCGGCGGCTAGAAAGCTTCGGGACGGAGGTGCTCATTATAGTCGTTGGGCTACCTATATTCATATGGGTATCTGAAGGTTGTGCATGCTGGTGGAGTAGCTATAGGTCCTTAGCGTGAAACATTCTCAATATGAGTCTGGCCGATGTACTTGTACTCAGTCGATACTTTGAGGTGCCCATCTGGACTAGCGAGGTAAAGGTGAGAAAGACATCAAGGTCGACGAAGGAGCCTCAAGAGATCCTCATACCCCGGCATGCCACGTGAGGCTTGAGGACGGGATTAGCGACCCAACGACCGGCTCAAGCAATTCACTGCACTCCAACGTTCTACGACCATGGCTCCCTCAACAAGGTCCTTATGGATTTCAGCGATATCAACGTTAACTCTGGCATCTATTGCTGGTGCTCATAGTAATGGCATGGACATGTCGATGGATGGGGCAATGTCGTTAGAGTCTGGACAGATGCTGCCATATCTACACTTCACTACGGGCGATATTCTATGGTTCCTTGGGTGCGTTTCATCTCTGTGACTGATATCTCAATGTTAACCACATAGTTGCTGCTTTCTATGTCAATAGATGGGTTCCGAAGAGCACTGGCGCTATGGTCGGCGCATGTATCGGGTTGTTCTTGCTTGCCATCTTCGAGCGATGGCTTGCCGCATGCCGAGCGCTGGGTGAAGCTCACTGGCGGATGCGGTGAGTATCCAACGCCGCTTCTGTCCTCTTTGCGCTTGCCCACTCATGACCACCCCGATATCAGCGCCCAGATCGCGCTGTCCGACAAGTTCAACTCCTCCGACATTGCAACATCCAAGCGCCCGGACCTCAAGGAGAAGAACTCGTCTTACACCGCTCCGGACCTCGACTACAAGCGCCCTGCGTCGCTGCGGCAGTCGATGGCTGTCCGGATGTCGACACCGTTCATCCCCTCCCACGATATACCACGAGGCATCATCCAAGCCGCTCAGACGGGGCTTGGTTTTGCCTTCATGCTCGTAGTCATGTTAGTGCCTTCCACATCTATTCACCATTCAAATATACTTATCGGTCGCTCCAGGACCTACCAAGTCGGATTCATCCTCTCCATCGTCATTGGCGAAGGCGTCGGCGAGACTCTTTTCGGCCGGTACGCCAGCAGCGCAGTCGTGCACTATGCTTGATAGAATATCCCTTGTCGCGTTTCACGCTTGTATGATTGTATTATGAAATGTAGCCGACGATGATCACGCCTTACTAATCGCATTCGGGAGAGACGTGGCGCACGGCTCATACAACGTATCCACGAACACCAAGCTTTCTAATGAGTATAGCTGCAACCAAGAAGGACAAGGGACTCCAATCTAAAACACAGGTTATCAAGTATTGTCCTGGGCCATTGTCTAAGGGATCCAGCGCCGCTTGCGTCCGCCTTCGCACAAATCAAGGAAGGCATCGGGAAACATGGAGGCACGTACGGAGGCAGGGAAGAGGAGTGCTGTTGGTTCCTCTTGATCTAGATCAGCCAGTACATAGGCCCCCGAGTGTGAAGATCAAAAGCGAGGACTGCAAAGGACGCTATCGGGAACTGAGCGTGGGCGTGGGTTCATGGTGACGGAACAACTTCAGATCCAGCATTGCAGGTTTACATTTATGCGTACAAGCGAGTGCGAACTAGGTGATAACGATAGCAGGAATAAGAAAGTCAGGTATTCTTCAGTGACGAGGCATGGTGCGGGTGTTGTAGATGGATGAGATTTTGGCAGCAGCGTCCATTACGGTGATGATTGCGGGGTTTATCCGAAGTTTCATGATCCTTTCGCTAGGTCTAGACTCTCCAGCGCCGCGTGCGTACGCATCTCTAGTGCATTCTACGAGGGAGGTCCATCAGAGAGCGTGGAGCGGGTCAAGCGGGACCGACGCACCTGCATGCTGTACTTGCCCTTCCGCGCTGCGGCACTCGCCTCGAGCGGCTTTCCGGACAAGACGAGCTCGAGGTGCCGCCGCGCGCCGTCCCTATCTCCCTTGCACGCCAACAGCCTCCCGAGCTCGTAATCTGCCGTGCAAACACAGTCCATCAGCAAACCGTCTGTCATCCGCCTGACGAGGGCGCCACTCACGCGCGTGGTACACGAGATGGTGATCGTACACGATCTTGCCTCCGTGCTTCAACACCTCGTTCAACGCCGCCTCCGCGCGCCTCGCCATCTCACCCTCCTCCTTTTCGCCCACCGTCTCCTCCCCTTCCTCTGGCTCCGCGTCCGGATCCGGCCACGCTACGTATCGGCAGCACACGCCCTCCAAGAAGCGCGCGAGGCAGAGGTCGTCCCACAGACTGTCCTTCCCTTCACGCTCCTCGTACTCCGCCCGCCGCTTCTCGTCCGTAGCGTACGGAAGGACGCCCGCGAGCGCGGCGTCGAGCGTGGGTATGACTCGCGCGCGGAGCACGGACGCAGGCGCGTGCGCAGGGGTGAGGAAGAGGTAGCCGAACTCGAGCGCGGGGAGGAGCAGCCGCCCGAGCTGCTGCGAGAACTTGCGCGCCTTCCGGGCCACGAATTTCTGGCAACGACGACCGACGTCAGTCGATGACGATGGAGGAGCGGAAGGGGGCGCACCTCGAGCGGAATCGATTTGCCGGCCAGCCGCTGGCGCAGCTTGGGCACCTTGTCCATCAGCTTGGCGGCCTCTTCCCGGTTATCGTCCCCGCCGAGCTGCAGGAGGCAGACGGCGGCGCCGTAGGTGTAGCACGCCTTGCTCCACTGCAGGACGTGAGACGTCGGTCAGGGATGGAACAGAGTGAGCATGACGAAGGGAGAGGTGGACTGACGGTGCCCTCCTGCTCGAGCGTACGCCAGCACGCGAGGCTCTCGCGCACGTCCCACAGGCTGAGGTGCGCCACGGCCATCTCCCAGTAGGAGATTAGGTGCAGGTTGCGCATCTGGTTTTGAGCGTCCATCGCCTGCTTGTAGTACCTATGTCCGGATTCGCGTCAGCCTCGGCAATGACGTTTGAGCTATGGAAAAGGAGGCACCGAAGAGCTTTGGCGGGCTGCGCTTTACGGAGGGCGAGCCTGCCGGCGCCGAAGAGGAAGAAGACGCCGTGCGGGAATCGGCGGAGATGGTAGGCGAGGATCTTGGACGCCATCGGCGTCGATACGCCGAGGTAGGTGAAGCTGCAAGGCGCGTCAGCGTGTGCGCGCAACGAGGAGCGGAGGGGCTGACCTGGAAAGAACGAGGTGAAATATGAGGAGTGTCATATCGCAGATTGGTCTGCGCACGCCTTCTTCAGCTGTTCAACAGCGAGGTCAGTTCGTTGACAAAGGCAAGGGGCGGACAAGGGATTGAGGGGGTACCTTGGCCAATCGCGGGCTCGTCGCTGTCTGCACTCCATCCGCCCGCCTTTTCTAATAGGCGCAACCCTTCGAGCCGATTGCCGCTGTAGCCGAAGAGCTCGACGAGGGATTGCAGCCGATTGGGCATCATCGAGAGGATGAGGTTCATTGCGCCTAAACCTGGATTTTTCGATGCCTCTTCAATATATGTGTATCGCGAGGAGAGCATGGTAGGTCACTCACCGAGGTAGACGCCGGAGCGAAAGTGCGCATCTATGCCGGCGTCGAAGCCGGCAGGATCCGCGGCGTCCGCGGCGTCGATGAACTTGCCAAGCGTACGGTAGATCGACACGCAGGTCCGCATTTTCAGCCTAAGCACGCCGTCGACACCCTACCCGCATCAGCTTCAGCTCGAGGTGGAGGAGGGGGCATTGGAAAGGGGTACGCACGCCTCCTTGATGAACGCGAGCCAGTCGCCCGAGTAGACGATGCCGAGGAGCGCCTTCTCAAACGTCGACTCCGCGAAGACGAGCTCGGCATGGCGCTCGACGGGCGTCATGGCTTTGACGGACGAGCCGACGACGTAGCCTGCGAGTCGACCCGCGAACGAGGTCGGGCGCTTACGGTGCGCTTGTGCGACGGCGTTGCCGGTGCGGACGTGGCCCAGCGCACGCTCGATGTCCTATGCGACCTTCGTCAGTCCTCCACCATACACAACAACAACGATGACAACAGGCACGCCAGGGACGAAGATGGAGGGCAGGGAACGCCGCATACCTCGTCCTCGTAACTCATGAGCGCCTTGACGCACTGTATGAGCCCGTACCCAGTGGCGTAGTATAGCCGCTCCTTGCGCGGGTCGCGGGAGTTACAGTGCGCCTCCGCCTCGACCATGTGCGACTGCAAGAAGATCTCGAGCGCGTACTGGATCCCGGGAATGTCGGCCAGCGCGCGGGCAGGAGAGTATGGGCCCGGCGCGGCTGGCGGTGCGACAGGTATTGAGTCGGCAGTGCTCATGTTGTCGGGCGCGTCCATGGGTGGGCGAGATGGACGACGATGGTCCTGAGGAGGAAGAGGAGCGAGCAGTGGAGATGGCCGGCTAATAATCACAGGCCGACGTGATGATGCGGGGAACTGTAGGCTAAGCTGTATATTAAAGCTATCTATGCTAGCAGTTACTCAGTCATTGAGAAAGTATAGGTAGCTTAGGTAGGTGTAAAGGAGTTAGCGTCATAAACGTTATCGTCGCTTAATATAGGTTTTCTGATGGAAGCTGCTTCCTTCGGGTAGGAAGTTGCTCGTCGTCGTAGACGGTGCCGAACTTGTCGCTCTCACAACCACTCAGTCTTGTCCGCTATAGCCCGGTCGTCCTAGGATAATCTGCGCGTCCGACGACACGGTCGTTGTGAATCACACAGCTCGTTATCTTTCGGACTTGGCCTCTCGCGACTTCATGTTCGCGCAGAAATCGGATTAACCTAAACCGTCCCGCTCGTTCGCTCGGAAGGTGCTACACCTTGATACACTCGGGAGCTCCTGCAGCGAGCTCATATCAGAGTGAATACGTAGACTACAACGTGAGTGTCTTCACCTATCCATGCATTCTCTCTATCACTCCTCGAATGCATCAACCGAACGGGCAATCCTTTGTTGTACCAACCTGAAAGTCCCGTATAATCGCATCTAACACGCAGCCTACAGAACGTAGATCAGCTCCTCAAGATGCAGGCATCCACATCGACCCCTTCCGCCCCGCGTCTACCCGCCGCTACCGCTCCCTCGCACATTCCGCTCCTTACACCCACCCCGCGCCGCTCCTCCACCCAAACAAGTCGCGTGCCCTCGTCCCTCTCGCTCCCCCAACTCGTGCTCGTCCCTCCATCACGCCTACCTTCCTCCTCCCTCACCGTCTCAACACCGCGTCGGCCTAGCCCGGGTCCTTCGCCCAACGCCAACAACTCAGGATCTGGCCTATCCTCCTTCCGCTCGCTGCGCAACCTCCTCCCCTTCGGATCCTCGTCCTCCTCCAAGTCGCCCTCGCGCTCTCCCACCGCGCCCCGCCGGACGGCCTCTACATCATCCGCCCTCGTCGCCCCCTCCTCCAGCTCCCTCGCCTCTCGTAGCCTCGGCTCCATCCGTCGCTCCCTCACGGGCGACCGCGGCACTCGCACATCGCCTCGCTCCTCACCCGCCCTCTCAGGCCAGGCACTCCGCTCGGACTCAGACCCCGTGCTCTCTATAGCACCGGAGCCCTCTCCCTCCGCATCCTCTGGCAGCCACAGTCCTAGCGCAAGTGCGCCCCTGGATCAGGTTCAGGAACAGGAAGGCCACGACGAACCCTTCCTTCCTCACCTCCCATCCACAAGCTCATACGGCGAGTTTGGCGAACGGACCGTCCGACCACTCGGTACGCATCTCAACCCCCATCTATTCCATACGTCCCCACTAAATTGTTCCTCGTATTCCCTAGACCCCGACCCCGATCCGACCCTGCAAAGTCAAGGGGCTACGGACCTCTCGACGATCCTCGAAGCCGACACCTCCGTTGCCTCTGCGCTCTCGGGCCTCTCCAAACACCTGCCTCCTCTCTCCGACGACGACTCTCCGTCCTCGTCCCCTGCCTCGCCCGCACCCTTCTCCTCGCACGCGCTCCGTGGCACGTCGAGCAACCTCCGCCCGTCACCGTCACCTCTCCTTGACATCCGCGTCCACCTCCAAGGGGAAGAGAAAGAAGAAAGCGCCGAAACAGCTGTAAGAGCCAGGCTAGAAGCCGAAATGCCGGGACACGACGAAGATGGGGATGAAGCGGACGACTCGGCGCTGGACCTCTCCACGACCCACCTCGACGCTGAAGTCCGCGGCGCGCTCCTCACTACCGCGCCATGGACGACGTTAACGCCGGAAATCCGCTCTTCCGCCTCGCCTTCACCATCGCCCCCTCCTTCTTCCTACCGCTTCCCGCCTCCTTCCCCGGGCGAGCAATACGAAGAATACGGCGAGACTCTTGGCCTCGGCGACGCGCTCACCGCACGACGCGGGCCTGCACAACACCCAGACGAGTCCCTCGATCTCAACCTCTCCGCGCTCGATCCGGATCTCGCTGCCCTCCTCTCCCCGCACCGCTTCGCCCCCCGCCGGACTGGACCACATCCAGCTGTACTCGCCGCCGCGAACGCAATACCCCCGCCCGCAACTACACCTTCTCCTCCTCCGCGTCCTTCGCTTGAACGCACCTCCTCCAGCCCATCCGCAGTTCCCCGGTACGGCGGCGGCAAGCTCTCGCCCTCGCCCTCCCCGCGCAGCCCGGCATTCACCCGCGGCAGCCCAGGCCCGAGCTCCAACTCGAGCTCGCCTCTCACCGCGTCCTTCCTTCCCGATCACGAGCACGACTCTGAGGACGACACCGCGCGCCGCGCCTCCGTCGACGGTCTGCCCCGGCGCAAGCTCTATGCAGCGCTGTCCTCCGGCCGGCCGGCCGGCATAGCAGGCAACACCAGCCGCCGCGCGAGCGAGGAGCATGCTCGGCCGTCCCGCTACGCCACCCCCGCGCGCCCCGCCTCACGCCCCGCCCTCTCGCACCTCCAAATGACGCCCGCATCCGAAGAAAGCCACCAGCCCCCGCCCTCTTCCCGCCCTCCGTCCTCCGCCGCGCGCCTTCTTCACCGGCGCCCGCCGAGCACGGACCAACTCCCCACCCGCGCGTCAGCCACCCCGAGCCGGCAGGATGTGCTAGACCGCCTCGGCCGACGCCGCGGCGCCAGCGTGAGCACGAGCAGCCCCTCCTCCGCCCCAGCGCCGTCCCCGCTCACGCGCCCGGGCTCGTCCGCGGGCCGCGTGCGCCCCGCGCTCGACCTTCTCGGCCCGCGCACCCTGCGTGCCTTCGCGTCCGCGGGGCTCATGGATCCCGCCTCCGACTCGTCCTCCCCGCGCAGCGTCAGCCAGCAGGGCCACTACGCCGCGCGCGGCGCGCCCTCGCGCCTCGCGCACTCCGAGCGTCCGTGGAGCCGCGCGGGCGCGTGGACACCCGACCGGGACGGCCACGGGCGGCGCCCGTCGATGGAGACGAGCAGCCCGACGGTCTACTCGGGCGCGACGCCGCGCTCGGCGCCGTCCACGACGTACACCTCGGTCTCCGCCGCGTCCACGCACGCGCGCGAGCTCGCGGATAAGCACCAGGCGGAGATGGGCACGCTGCTCGCCGCGCTGGCCGACGCGCAGGCGAGCGGACGCGCGCTCCGGGAGGAGAACGACGCGCTGCGAAGGCGCGTGGAGGAGCTCGAGGACGCGCTCGGCGAGGCGCGCGCCGAGCTACGCGTGCAACGGCACCACCAACACCGTCAACAACAGCAACAGCAACCCCGCCACGCAGCGCCGCCTCCGCTCGACTTTGGAGCCATGGGCCGTAGTCGAGTGTTCGAGCGCCCCTCCACGGCGTCCGGATCGGTGTCCGGGGCGGGGTCGCGTCCGCCGTCATCGCAGGCGAGGTCGCACTCTCGCGTACAGAACCTCTCCAGTTCGTCCGCCTACGGCAGCCACGGCTCGCTTGATCCGCCCGCACGCTTCCCTGAAGAAGACACAGCGCGGCAGGGCAGGGCACAGCATCAGCGTCGCAGCAGCACAGCCTCGTCGGTCTTCCCGCTCCCGCCGAGCAACATGAGCCTGCTCATGAGCGAAGACAACACGGCCGTCGCGCCGCTCGACCGGTCCGTCGCGTCCTTCGCGCCCTCCGCACCGCCGTCGCCAACGCTCGTGTACGCGGCAAGGCACAGCTCGGGCCCGCTCGCCGGCCGGAGGCGGGGTGGCCACGCGCCGAAGCAGGCGTCGGTCGCGTCGATGGAAAGCATCTCGCCCTCGACGGCGAACTACTCGGTCCTGACGGGCTCCCCTGGCAGCCTGAACCTTCAACCGGAACACGACCGCCACCTGCTCGATCTGGACATGCTCAGCCTCGACATCGGCAGCGGGGCGGAAGACAGTGGGCGCGAGGGCTCTGGCCTTGGGGTGTGAACCCTTTGATCCCCTCTCCATGGCGATCAACATTCCTCCGGACTTCTCTTTCTTCGTATCGCTTTGTTCTCGCGCATGTGTCTGTACTATGGGTTCGCTTTCATTGTGGAAATTAAGTAGGACAGTGGATCTGGATTTCGGGGACCACGTAGTCTCATTTGTAGCATACATTACAGCTATTATTTTTGGGCATATACAGAGCTAATTCTGTCGTTTTATCGCGCGTGTGGATGATCGCGGCCTCTTCAATCTTCGAAGAATGATCTTTTGATTCGCTGAAGCAAGAGCAACTGAGATGAATAAGCAACGAAAGGAATCCACTCACGCGATCCGAGCAGGTGGAGCTTGGAGCATGGTTGAGATCGTCTGGTTCCGAAGAAAGCCGGGGATGCCAAACATCCCCGCCAGCTGAAGTTTCGGTCAGTCTACGAGCCAATTCAGGAGCAGACGGTGCTTGAGGGGACTCTGGGACCAGAAACAAGCCCCACGGATCAGAGTCAGACAAGCATGACAACGAACGATCACGAGCGTAAGATGCAGAAGCGGGCTCCTCCTGGGTTGGCGAGGGCGGTGTCGGTAGAGGGGCTGGCGTTACTGGCGCCCGGCGAGAGAGAGGGCTGCGGCGAGCTTTTGTAGAAGGTGTTGAGGTGTGAGGAGCAGGCGGATCATATCTCGGTTTCGTTGCGGCCGACGGAGTGACCGGAGATCGCGCAGGGTTCGAACGACGCCCCGCGAGCGCAGCTGCGGTAGCTTGATCCTTCAATATTGGTGATCTGGGAGATCGGGATACAACCCGAGCGTAAGGAGAGCGGCGCTGGAGATGAAGCGATGAGTCCCTGAGACGCGCCAACCGATGCGGAGAAAGGGCAGTCAAGCAGGCTGGTGCTGGTGGCGGGTCCTGTGCAGGCAATTCGGGGTGGCCGGTCATGTGTTCCACAGCGTGAAGACCAGAAGCGATAACTTTCAGGGAAACGAGTGAAGCCAATATTTGTTGTTGTGTGTCCTTCATCGCCTCGAAACTGCCATGGAGCTGTGCCTGTTCGTCTTTGATAGCTTGCAGAGCTCCGGCCTGGAGAAATTGCTGTTCACGGATAGCGTGGAGCTCGTTCCCATGAACCGCATGTGAGTCCTTGATAAGGTGTATTTCCTGGACAAGGGCGGCAGTGTGGTCCTGAAGGATATGAGCGTTCTGGGAGTGAGCGGCAAGCTGCGTTATGACCGCGGTGAAGTCACGAGACTGGGACTGCAAGCCCTCGAGGAGAACGTTGGGGATCTACTCCATGCGTCAGACGGGTTCACTGCGCCGAACAATAAGTGTGAGCGCACAGCAGTAACGATATCCAGCGACCGCTCGAATGCAGCAAACTTGGTATCCAAAGCTGATAAGCGAGAATCCGTCGTGCTGAGCAGCATGGTGGCTTCGTTGAGTTTTGAAGCTTGAGCGGGTTCGCCTAAGCATAAACGGAGCTCCTTCTGGCATCTGGAGGCTGTAAGCGGAATACGAGTGAATAAACATTTTCAAAAGCATATATGCGTCTGAAAATCGCTCGAAATCATTATTCGTTCTGAAATTCACCTATCCTAACAAATTCATCAACTAGAGCTTCGCGATCTTGTTTGAAGAGCGCCTGTGTCGTTGAAGTACCCGCCTTCACATCGTCAACGCCCTGGAGAAGCAGGTCGGCACGATGAGAGAATCTTTCCAACTGAGCTTGCGTATCGTGCAGAAGCATGCGAGCAGATATGTTACTCTTATCGACAGGTGCTGGAGGAGGAGCCGTAGGGAGATCATGACCAGGTGTATCCCGAGAAGCAGACATGTCATGCTGGAGGAGTCTCCACAAAGGGTGAGCAGAGCCATGCGCCTGTGCCGTATTCGGGTCGGATAAACGAGGGATTGTACCACTGGGCATTTTCTTGAGTAAAACGAACTATTCGCCTGGGGCAGTGGTCATGCAGTTCCAACCTCTTGAAGCAGTTGCACAGGCGGCGCAAACTTAAAGCGTGTTCAAACCCATGCCGCGTGATCGTGAGAACTCTGAATCTCGTGTCTCGAGAGGGTTTCCGTTCTACTGTCGTTTTTCGACCGTAATTTCGTTTCCCCACCTGCGAACCTATTCGCCCATTTGTCCCCTGTCCCCTTCCATTTTTCTTGCCCAATGACTGACCGTGGGAGACTCGTGCTCTGACCGTGGGAGTATTCAAACTGATCGAGGATCACTTGGCGAACTTCCCACGGGCCCGCACTTGGAGGTTGTCTCCAGGGGGTCTGTTACGGTCGAAAAACTACAGTACCTTCCCGTAATTCCTGGTAGACCACTGAAAGTGATCTGCTCACAGCACTATCCAAGTTCGGGCTTGCTACTGTGCACTGTTTGTTCCGCTATGAAGTAAGACACAATTTGATTAACCGTAAACATACGCTAGGCTACGATAATCAAGACGACCCAAGTGAGTGATTGAAGGACGTTCGTGTATTAGTGGGCAAATTATATGGTAAATCATCAATGAATTAGCACGAAAGTCATCTGTGGAAAGGAGGGACGTGTATGTTTGAGAGAATAGACATGGTGAAGCTATGGTAATGTGAATTGCCTCAAATTGTCGAGGCAACGAAAGATGTCTTGTGATGTCATATCCAAAGCTATAATCGACGGCCATGAAGCAGAGCGGGCATGCCTATGTTCATCAGCTGCGCATCCATGAATGCAATTAACATACACACCTCGGCCTCGTCAACGGGGCCTCGGTTTCGGCGTGGGAGGAGGTGCTGACGGAGGATCCTTGGGCCCGTACGTTACAGACTCCATACAACCCTTGTCGCTGTTCTGTTGTATCGAGCACTGAGATAGCCTGCGGAGGAGAAGAATTTCTGAGAGAAGAATACTAGGCATATAGCATCCGACCGACTGAGATAGTGGTCAATGGATGAACTTGATCTGTGGATCTCGTTCCGATGATAAGAGGGTAGGATAGTATGGAAGGTCATCGACGGCCTTCTCTGCTCATATACGCAACAGTTGTCTACTGCCATGTTGTGCATTCGCAGAGATACTCGGGTTGGCATCGATGCGTCGTCAAGGACACGATAAGGCGTGACCCTTTCGAAGTGCTCGGTGTGGTCTCTGTCGCCGAACGACATGAGAGGGTCACAGTAAACCACCACCCTCGGTGCGGATCACCCTGGTGGCTCTGTAGTTTCCGCAGGGATGCGCCACTAGGGACCCATGCGTCTCCCATAGGCTGTATCCGTCCATGCGGGTTTGTGATCGCGGCGTGCCATATCTGAATCTTCTTGCAATGGGGTTCAAACCATCGGTAGTACTCCATAGCAATCAAATAGAGAATGTGCCTGACGTCGCACGCCATGTACAGGGCAGGAAGATCGCGACTACGTCCCTGCCACACGTTGCTCATCAACACATTTGAACAGAAGATCGCGTGGTAATCACTTACAAATCGTGGCGGTCAATTGAGACGGTTTCTGAACGTAATCAGGACAGTTTCCTTCTTTGCACCACTCGCGGAGAGCACGCGGACATGGAACATTTACTCGGATATCGACGCTGAGAATGATGTACTACCTGAATATATTTTACAATGAGGGAAAGCACTGATCGTTGGTTGAATCCTGTCCTCAAGATGCTGTATATCGACTCTACGATGTCGCTCCGACCACAAATCGGGACTTCTGTCGTATGCGGGCCCCGGTCCGATAGAATACAAATCTGCAGAGGGAAGCCAACATCAAAACGTGGAGAAGATAGCATGAGGGGCAGACGACCCACGGAAGAGGCGCCATGAGCGTGGTAAGACCAGCGAGAAGTGCAGTCGCTCCCACTGTTCCAAGCGTGTCATACATCTATTGTCGGCGCATATAGCCTCAGGATCACATGTTTTGGGGACAAGAGGCATGGCAGTGCTTACCTGTACTGCGAACAAAGGGAAGACAGCTGCGAAGGCGGATCTCAGGAACGAGTTTCCCGCAAGCGCCGACGCTGCGTATGGTCTGTATGTTGCAACCAAAAATGTAAAGGAGCATGTGAAGATGTAGTAGATCCCTGGACGCTGCATCAGCACGAGCGTCATGGAATAGTTGAAAATGAACACATGCCGATGCCAAATGGTACGCTGGCTATAATAGGCACAATCCAGTGCACAGATTTGTAAGTCGTAAACGCCAGCCAGAACAAGGCTGTAATCGAGGGATGTGATCAGAATCTATGCGTATTCTATTAACCGCAGCTCACATATAGGAGTTATCACAGCGCCAGCCATGCCCATAATCAACCGCTCCTCAGGCGGTGCGGCGCCGCCGTACTTCGTAACGGCTCGCCGCTTTGCCCATCGGTTCCAGTACGGTTGCGACGCCAGGGCCATGAACATCCCCAGGCCAATGCCTAAGAAACTCAATCCAGTTTCCTGCGGGCTAAAGCCGTGATTCTGTTCGAATATGATCGGGAATGCTTGGAACGCTAGGTACAATACGCCGAGAATCAGCGCGCACCTGTGTGATGTTATGTCAGCGCATGAACCCGCACAGTCAACGCGCCGGACATGAGAACCCGTCCCGGTTCTCCACACCAAAAAAAAAAAAAACGACTGACCACAGATCTATCAGCAGCGCCATCCGCTCAAACAGTATGAGCTCGAACGGTTTGTAGCAGCTGACAAGAATCATGTGGAACAGGCTGGCACCCTCTGCCCGTTTTCGTTCAGTTGCGGAATAGTAACGTTGATCACCGGTAGTTTTCCTCATTCTGGAGCACGCCGGCGCGACATGTCAGAAGATCGCAGTAGATACGCAGGGGCTCGGAATCTCACTTGCGCGCTTTGTGGACTTCTAGGACCGGAACATAGGTCTCGGGGATAAGCTGTGCAGGGGTCGACATTTGATTATGAGTTCATTGGGAGGCGACACGTACCAAATATAGTCCGAGGATTTCAATAAAGATCCAGATCAGCATTGTTCGATATGTCCATCGCCACGTCGTATTCTGCGAAACCGTTACTTTAGCCTATGAGTGATATGATGGAATAGAGGTAATACCTGGTTAATGAATCTGTGGAGTGCCAATGCAATGATGAGTGACATTCCCAGTTGCAGATAATGCGGGTCCAAGCAATTATGCTAACCCCGATATTAACGGCCCAAGGACTGCGGAATGGATGAGCGTTGAGATTGAGGACAGATTGACAACACACCTGGTCCTATGAATGGTGTCATGGTGTACACCGCCATAGGTGTCGCAACATGAGCATCATCGAAGAGATCGGCAACACTCCCCCCAGCTACGCTCAAGAACGCTGATCCACAGAAACCAGTGATGAACCTGAACACCAGAAACACCGCTGCGAGCAAGGGTACTTTCAACGAAGGAAAGCAGGTAATTGGGTCAGAGGTACCCACCTGCGCTATCGGTGAACGCCACGGGGAAGGTGAAGGCAAAGAAGAGGATATAAGACACTTGATAGATGATGTTTCGACCGTACATCTCGCTTAGAGGTCCTACGAGCAAGGGTCCCATCCCGAGTCCTTCGACAAACAAGCTGATCCCCAGAATGGCGACCTCATGCGAAACGCCAAACTGCTTCTCCATCCCCGCCTCCGCGAAAGAGTGTATGGAGGAGGCGCAAGTGGTGCATAGAGATGCGGACCCGATGACGAGGATCGCAAGCCACTTGTGGAAGGAGCTGTAACGTTTCTTCGGGTCTTCAGACGCATCGAGGTGGACAAGATACGGGTCTTCCGACCCCCCGCTTTCCCCAGTTACGTCGCCCTTCTGTACCGCGCCCTCGCTCTCCTTCGCGGCTCCCCGTTCCGCATCGACCTCCGTCGCGTCGTCGGAGTTGGCCGCCCTCGCATCAGCGTTGATGCACGCTTGTTTCTCAGACATCTCTGTTCGTGAGGTCGTCGCATTGGCATTGGTTGCCATCGTCAAGTGCGTGAAGCTGGAGGATGAAGTCGGGGTCGAGGACCGACATGAGAAGTTATATGGTCCCAATATACGCACGAAATGGGACCATGGGGAAGCGGGTAGTTGGGTTTAACCGGCAGGATTACTCACTGCTCGAACACAGCCACCTTTGAAAAATGGTTTGCCCAAGTGGGGTACCGCCGCACACACCAAAGCCTCCCGCTTACTTTTACTGCTCATGCTCAGTACCGCATTCATACACACTGTGCCATTGGATGTCCTGCTGATAGGACACGAGAAGCTCCCTCCTGACTAAGAGAACGAATGAGTTGATCTACCAATGATAATCCCTTGTCACGGGCGATCGAGGATGTTATTAAGCATTAGTACTAAGCACAGACATCTCGAATTCATATCTATTATGCATCATCACGAGCACGAGTACTGTTTTCGGGATTGAGGTTAGCTCTTTGGCGGGGGCTTACTTTCCAATGGGGATGTCTCGTCTTCGTATGGACGCGGACCCACGTAAGTAGTACGCGGGTTCATTCCGGGTTTCTTCGCACGCATCCTCAACTTGTAGCCTGCGTAGTCCTTGAAATCCGGCATCTCGGTCTTGATTGGGTCTTTGCACGTCAAAACCCACCTCTGCCCCACTTTCGCATCGTGAATTCAGACCAGGACGTCGAGTCCAGGTTTCATGAAAGCCCATGTTTCACAAATTTACGGAAGGGAACTCAACCGGCGGGTTCGAAAAGCGATACAATACAGCATCAATGAACAGTCCAGGATACTACGGTGTCTGAAGTGTCCTGTATCTATATTGCTCGCTAGTGTCCTCCGGCACAGAGCCGCGCGAAGAACGGTTATCGGTGGCCCTCAGAGGCCGAGGCTGGAGAGGGTCAGGCCAAGAGCAAGGCTCTCTAACGAACCGGCGACGTCAATGAGCCTGTCGATTCGATCAGTTCCGGTTTCGTGAAACAATCAAGGTGAGACATACAAGTTAGCGACGAAGGTGAGGATACCGGGAAGGAGCATCTCAAGGCCATTAAGCAAATCATCCATGGATGTATCCATGCCGCCCAGAAGCGAGCCGAGGTCGGGGATGGAGGCAGCGTCCCCTAAGAGGTTGTTCAGGGGCGGGGTGATGTCCTGTGGAACATGGTGAGAGGAGTTTCGCGGAAACGGTATTGATGATATACCTCGATGATCGACGCGACCAGGGTGGCGACGTCGTCCACGCTCTGGCGCTTCTCAAGGGTTTCCAATGAGCGCTTGGTGGAGAGACCCTGGAGCGACGAGGCAGCCGCGTGGATGTCCGCAACTATTCCGTCGACTAGAGGGGCTATCGAGTCGCTGGTAGCGTTGCCACTGGCAACCGTCGAGGCTTTTCGAGATAGAGGTATGATCAGTAGAGGTCAAATACATTAAAGCATTTTACTTACTTATCTGACTGAGGATGGGGAGAATCTCCGACTTCAAGTTGGTGAGAATCGGGATTATATCGGCCGGAGAGGCAGCCCTCTGCGCCGGGACCGCAAGAGCGAAGACACCGAATGTCAGGAGGACGAAGAAAAATGAGACAACGCGAGAGAATTGCATGTTGTTGGATGGATGAGGTTCGTTGGCGTTGGCGCTCTTGACTTCGGTCCGCCGGGCTGGTAGACGTCCTGCAACAGTACGCTGGGAAAAACGGCTCCACCACCCCTTCGTTTTATAGCTCAACAGTGAGCGCTCTACGTCAGACCTCCAACCTTCGAAGCAAGAACGATTGCTACGAAATGGTGTTCGCTCGTACCCTCCCTGTCTCAGATGCGTGGAAAACCAGACCGAATTGTGAGCGGATGTCCTGCGAGAAACACACGTGCGCTCCTCCATTCTTTGGCGACACAGAACGCGGCCAATCGGGGAATGAACGAGGGGCGCCGCCGTATGGATGACTCAGACGCGTGGGGAAGAAGGTCGCGCTTTGGTCGCCTCGTATGCGCCATCGGAAGCGCCATCCACCGATGCGGAGTGGGTTGTCCGTTCGTCGTAAAGGTGACGTTCCTAGGTCGTCGGTGCTCGAGACTCCCCCACCACGACAACGGATTTCCTGATAGGGAAGGGACGCGTAGAGCCGACGCGCCTATATCGTTATCGCTAGACTCGACTTAACTTTGACTACCGCCCCGCGCTCGGCGCACGGATTCGTGACCTGTCCAAAGAGACGACAGGCGAACAGATGCGAAGCGGTACCTGGGTAGCTGCAGATTCGGCCGGTGGCTACGCCTCCGAATCTCGTCAGCACACCCGCTCGACGCGGGTTTCGATACTGCCTCGGAACTCGCCAGCGCCAGGCTCCCGACACCCGAACCTCCGTCGGAGCTCCCCGGACACGGAAGAATCACAGCTGCCCCAGGCTCGTTGAAGCACCGCCCAAGGAAGCTTTTGCAACCGAAAGATGTCGTCAGAACTACGTTCGAGCAGCCACAAGATGCTCTGGCCAAAGTTCTGTCTGGTACAGCCGCGTGCATCTATACGTTAACGCTCTACAACGTCCATTGATGCCTCTGCGCAGGAACTAAAGCCAATCTTAGCAAAGAAGCGACGGGTTACTGAGCTATCTTACAAGAAGGATCTACCACCTGTCCCACCGCGAGAGCGTTTCCACAAAGAATAGATCAAATGGTCCGTGGCGAGTGCGAGAGAGTCCAAGAGCGAACCAGAACGCGAAAGACAGCGAGCGAGATCGTGCCTCTCGCCTCCCGAGTCCCGACGCCCGAACGAGCAGCACTGCCACGTGGCCCATTTGGGCGTGTGAATGCCCTTTTCAGGCAATAGCCCTGTCGTGCGTCGCCGCCCGATTCCTGTATGTTCCACATGCTCTCTCGCCGCCTGAAAACCCTCATAATATTTTATATGTCTGTAGGGTACCCTGCCCTGAATATTCCATGCGATTCTACGATTTCACATGACCCCGATCGGTCCCGAAACGCTCTGGGAATTACTAGAGCAGCGCAGGAGCTTCCCAGAGAGGTGTAGATCTTGTAATAAGTAATACAAATAAGGGACAGCAGACGTCACTGCGTCAGAGCGAGCGGCGGCGGCGAGCTTTCGATGAGATCTTGCATTTTAGGGGAAGCGATGTCATCCTCAATTTTCATCTCCCTCTTTGATTCTTCCTCGATCGTCTCGGACTTACATAGTTAGCTTCGGCTATAGAAGATAAATTTGATAGCTATGAAATAGGGCTATAGACCATCATCCGAGCATCTTATTTTTCCCAAGCCGTTTGAGAGCACATTTGAGATCCTATGTGTGAAACGCGTAAATACCGAGATATCGCCACAGCAAAGCTTCAAAATCGCAATCCCCTTAGCCAAGCCTGTATCAAATACGCACCTACTAGAAACAAGGGCTACGAATCGACGCCCCTCTTCGCCATCCCGATCTTTCGACCGGTTGCCCTTTCCCACGCATCCACCCCTTGACACAACATCGGCTTCGCAAGGTCATTATTCGGTCTACAGACTACGTACATCGTCTAGATTACATACAGGGGTTCTTTTGACTCACCCGATTGCTTTCTAACCCGAAGTCCGGCCCGACAAATCGGGGAATCAACATCACTACACCACACTACCAAATCCGGAACAAGTTCAAACGTCCGATGCACAGTCTTTTGCTCATATGCTCCGTGTTCTTACGACTCAAAACTTGGAAAAACAAACCCTTGTTTTTGTACTGGCTACGTCATAAGCTATCGAATACACAACGACGACGTGCCTTCTCACTGCGGGCGAACATGACTCGTGACAAGTTTAAAAATTTTGCTCGCCGGTGGGGCGTAGGTGAACCGAACGCAATCCGTAGGCCAAGGCGGGCTCGTTCCCAGTTACCGTCGTGCGTGCCCTCACTCGCAACTTCTAGCCATAGGATAGTGCTTGAAACCCGCATGCCGATCTTGAGCGGGCCTTTGCACGTCAGAACCCACCTCTGACCCATTTTCGCATTTTGGCCTCGGACCAGTGAGTTAAATGCGGGTTCATGAAACGCATGTTCCACAAAATCATGGACGTGTTCTTGACCGACGGTTTTGAAAAGTGATACGATACAGTATTATTCAATAGTCCACGGTACTACAGTGTCTGAACTGTCCTGTGTCTACATCGCTCGCTAGTTTCCACAAATGTTCAGGCACATTGGAGACGGTCGCACGGAACGGGTATTGGTATCACTCAGAGGCCGAGCGAAGCGAGGGTCAGGCCGAGAGCAAGACTCTCGAGCAAACCAGCGACGTCAACGAGCCTATAACTGCAATCAGTCTTTATTCTTTGAAGACGCAAGGTGAGACGCACAGATTAGCGACAAGGTTAAGAACACCGGCCAGGAGGGTCTCGAGGCCAGTAAGCACCTGATCCAAGGAAGTGTCCACGCCGGCCAGGAGCGAGCCGAGGTCGGGAATGGAGGCAGCGTCACCCAAGAGGTTGTCCAAGGCCGCGGTGAGGTCCTATGGATCATGATTAGAGGAGGTTTGTATAAGTGGTATCAATGGTATACCTCGATGATCGATGCGACCAGGGTGGCGACATCGTCATCGCTCTGGCGCTTCTCAATGGTCTCCAATGAGCGCTTGGCAGAGAGACCCTGAAGCGACGAGGCGGCCGCAGAGAGGTCCGTTACGAGTTCGCCAACCAAAGGAGCGATTGAGTCACTGGTTGCGTTGCCGCTGGCGACGGTCGAGTCTTTTCGAGAGAGGCGTAATCAGTGAGGTTCAGATACGTTAAAGAGCCTTACTCACTGATCTGACCGAGGATGGGAAGAATCTCCGTCTGCAAGTCGGTAAGAATCGGGATGATATCGGCCGGAGAGGCAGCCCTCTTCGCCGGGACCGCGAGGGCGAAAACGCCGAACGTCAGGACGACGACGAAGAAAGACACGACGCGGGAGAACTGCATGTTATTCGATGGATGAGGTGTGTATGGGGTTTGATGCTATGGATTTTGGTACGCTGGTTGACGTCCTGGAACAGTGCGTTGGTCAAAACGGCTGCATCCCCCTCTCGTTTTATATCCCGATGGTGAATGCACTACGTCAGACATCGAACTGCGAAGCACGAACGATTACTGCGAAGTGATGTCAGAAGACGACGGTGTTCGCTCGTACCTCCTAGTCTCAGAGACGTAAGATCCAGATCCAAAACGCGAACCGAGTTTTTGGAGGTTCCGGAGGAAGAACACTCGCGTCGCTCCACCCTTCTTCGTGGTTTGGGAAATTCTAAGGCCAAACAAAAACGCGGCCAGCCGGGAATGAATGAGGAGGGGTGCCGCGGGGCGCAGGTACGTACTCCAAGTGACACGCTCCCTCGGGTCAGGTGGATTAGAAGGTTGCGCTGCAGTGCCTCGTACGTGCCATCGGAGGCGCCAACCACCGGGGCAGTTCGCACGAGAGTGGCGCTTGTTTGCGACGGATCGTACCGAAACATATCGTTCGGGAATCCAAATATCCAGTTACAACGAGAACGACGGCCGTGCGCACGCGAGTTCGAGACCTGTGCGAGCATTCAATTCCAGGCCTCAGGCATCCACGCTAAGTCCGACGGGTCACTGAACACACACTCCAGACATGATGGCGTACGCCCGGATAAACAGTTCATCGCACATGGGGAAGGCGAGGTTTCGCAGCACTCGCGGACAAAGCCGTGTTGTTCCGGTTGCAGTACATTATTTGCATTTGCATTTTTGCATCTGTGGAGCTGAACGGGAAGCATCAGAAAGTCGTCAGAAATGAAAGTGGGCATCACCAGGGAAAGCGCATGAGGAGGGCGGAAGGTCCAGGATACGCTTCCTCCAGCGCCGCCGGTCCGTATTTGGAACGAGAATCACAGCTGTCCCTGGCTCGCGGAAGCTCTGCCCAAAGAAGCGGCTTTTGCGTCCGGAACATGTCGTCAGAACTACGTTTGGCGGGGCAAATTCGCGCTTAGTCGTGCTTCAGACTACGATTTGGCTCAGCCTCCAAGGCGACTGAAGTTATTCGAAGTCGGTTGAGCTCCACAACGCGGGGAAATACTAGGGCGCACAAAAAATTAGCGAGATGATATAGAGCGTACGAACGTTCGAGAACAAGATCATGTTTGATATTAATGCTTGACCGTATTTTGCAGTCATGCGCGAAGTCTCGCATTAGCAATCGCTCGCATCTTGTTCGTGAAGAGTCTGAAACAAATGAGTTCGCACAGTTGTCAGGGCGATCTGTGGTCAGCTCGCGGATGACGTCAGTCCTTTGACAACGCCTGGCCACTGCCACGTGGACCCGAAGGCACGAGCTCTCACCACAGCACCGAACTACCTTCAAGCTCCAAGGGACCTTGCGAACGCAAAACCAGCCCCGTAGACAGGTTTCCGCGAGGAGGAAAGAATCCGGTGGATTTATAGCAGTACGTGTGAACAGCATACACAAGTGGTGATGCACAAAGGCTGGCAAACCTTCGTCCGAAAATGCCGGCGGAACGCCCAGACAAACACGCGGCGAAATAATACAATTGGGTGGTGTGGAGGTATGCTGTTACCCCATGCCCCAAACCTATCGGAGGTTTTTCTTTAGCAAGCTCGCTCCACGGTCGTGCGTCGTGCGATGCTCGGACAACCACGTACCTCCACACCCACGCACTCGAAGCTCACGGTGGACCCCTTGCGCGGGCCGTCGGAGCAGAGGGCCTCGTTGTTGAAGGTCGGACATGGTGCGGAGGACCCCTCAAAGAGTTGGTCATCGAGGAATAGACCGTAGTGACCGTCACTGAGGACACGTCATGCGTGAGCGTGGGCAAGCAATGCGGGTTTATGGGTTCAATGGCGTACCCTCCACCGAACGAGATGAACTTTTGCTCGCAGAGCGCAACGTAGTCGTTCCGGCCAGACCATCTGTAAACCTGAACGTTCCCGCCTCGCACCCGCCAGAGGAATCTGAGGCGCACGACAATATCTACTCTCAGTGACAATGAGGGAGCAGGGATTCCACTCACGATTCGCCGCTGCCGTAGTACGCCCCAGGAGACACGCGAATGCCGTCTCCGATCCATGCGCCGAATAGCGCGTCGCCAGAGTCCTTAACGACAACCAGAGTGCCCTTCAAGTGGTTCTGACACCGTGCGTACAGCGTCTTGAGCGAGATACCGTGCTGGTCTAAACTATACAGAAGGTTCCACGTCCGTGGCAATCGTGCCAGCGCCGGCAGATGCGCCCGAATCTACGATACATCTTGCATTAGTCACCTAGTTCAAGACATGGATGGGAGGAAAGGATCCACCCACCTTGTCCGCAAGATCGACGGTAAGCACGGGCGTCGTCATCTCCTTCCTGCCCGCCAAATTGACGCTCGCGCGTTCCACCGTCTTACTGTCGTATTCGAATCCCTTCGGATTCAACGAGCGCGCGCCATCAAACCCGGGCGCACCCGATGACGGCACGAACGCATGCGCCGCAAAAGGCGTTCCGTGCTTCACGTTCACGTCCGTGTCCAGGGACTCGCCCACCACTCTTCCGATTGTCCCGAGCACTGGTAACGATCCGGCGTGCATTAGCTGATGGCCTTTGGGTGCAGGCGCGGGGATCGACTTTGATGTCGAAGGGATTGCGAGTGGGATCGTCTTGGATCCGGATGAGACGGCATTAGCGAACAGCGCGCTGACGGGCGTGCGCTCTTCTTGGGGGTAGGCGCGCGAGGTGAGCATGGAGGGCAGCCAGCGTGACGAGTATGAGCTTGACGGCGGCGTCGTCGCGGTCTGGCTGCGGAGAAGGCGAGGAGAGGGCGGGGTGTGCGGGTCGGACGTGGAAGGCCGGGTGGGGGGCGTGTCGATGGCGATCGGTGACGATCGGACGGGGGCGGGGGAGCTCAAGTTGTGTTCTCGGGAGGGGTGGTGGTGGTGGTGACGGTGCGTAGGCTGCGGCGTCGGCTCGCGCGACTGCCCCTGGAGCAGATCAAAGTCTACCAGCGGGCCTGGCCACGGTGCAGTCGTGGATGTGCTCTCGCCTACACGTGGGGCGGAAGAAGGCAGCTCGGCATTGGATTGGGATGGTATTTGAGCTGGAGGTTGAGGTTGGGAAGAGAGGAAGAGCGGGTCGTCCTCGTGCGCAAGCAGCTCGTCCAGCACGCTGTGCTTGTTCTTCTCGGCGGCGCTTTTCGCCTCTGAGGTGAAGTGCTCGAAGAATTCGAGCGTATGAGGCGTGAACGGAGGCTGAGTCGATGATAAGGCATCGTCGTTCGAGAGTCCATGCAGAGGATCCTCGGTTGCAGGGACAGACACGAAGGAGCCGAACTCGGAGTCGGCAGAGCTGGGCGTGCGAGAGTGGGGAATCGGCCGCGCGTACGGTCGTGTGTTCGTGAATATGGGCGCGACCCGGGGCGATGCCGGAGGCGTCGGAGGCGAAAAGAGCGATGCAAAGCGATCCTCGTTTTCGTCCTGATCCGGTATTTGGTTTTGAGGAAGAGGTATGAGTGATGGGATGGAGCTCAAGGGTGCTGACATCTATATCAGATGCAATGAGGGTGGTAGTGGGGATGAAATCAGAGAACGCTCACTGCTCAGTTCAAGCGTCGGCGCACGAAGGAGAAGCGGTACGGATACCGTGATACGAGGTTCAAGTGGGGGTAGGTAGCCTCTGTACTCAGCGTACACGTGCTCTGAAGCCGGTGTGTTAAACGTCTGAGGCTCATATTTGATAATCCGAGGCCCACCCTGTTCACGGCGTCGATCTCGAGGGTCTCACCAACCCACACACCAAGCATCGCCGGCATTAGGGGGCCTCAAAGTTGGCGATTATGGGACAGATTACGGAGTGGATTCGAAAGTCGATTATGGTCGCGGATTATGGTCGAATCGAGTGTAGCGGCTCCAGAGCCGCTACACTCGATTCGACCCATAATCCGATTCTGCTACGACTCTCGCTACATCGGAGTTTGGAATCCTTCCCACCGGGTCTGGGATGTCCACTCGCCTCTTCGTCCTGACCAACCCCGCCGCATCGTCGTTCTTCCGTCCTCTCTCCGGTTGTATCACCGTATAGTTCTGGCCCTGACCATCCACGTCGTATTGACGTTCTTCGTCCTCTTCATGGTTCTCATCGGCGTATAAGGAACTCCATGGATGGCAGGGAATCATTCAATGCGGGCCTGGCGGGACGGCACGTTTTCCTGTGGGTACAACACCACCTACGTCGTTCAACAATACGATTTGGAATGCACATGGTGCTGGAGGTGGTTGCAAGTAAATCAGCACGGTATGTGTGTAGCTCAGATGTTCCTCTCTCCCCCGGTAGTATCTTTACGCTCATTTGTCACGATCAAGATCGTATCACCGTCCTGCGTCGCTCCCGGACGTGCCTTCCGCATCAACATGCCTTTGGCCAAGCTTGACCTTGCGGTTTGCGGGCTGATGGCTCGTCATCGCGCTTCAGGGAATCTGGGCGCAATATCGCAGCCGTCCAGCGGAATCCCAATGTGAGCGGCTTAGTGACGGCACATAGAGGACGTTGGGGATGGTGTTCTTAGTACTGATATGTAACACTACCTTATGTCCATGTATTCCATGAGGTCGCGCCTCGTCGCCACTAAAGGCACCTGGTCATATAGTAACTCAGTACTGCTGTCATTGTTTCAGCCAGACAATATACAATTTTTCCTTCACCCGACAGGAATGTCAACGTCAGTATACCCAGAGGTGTCTGAATATCCTCGGGACTTAGGTGAGGTGCTCATTCTTCGACTTGGGCACAAACGCAGGCTCGGCCGTGCGGCCGAACTCGGTATTCAAGCTCAGAAGGACATGCCGGCGAGTCGGCAGGAGGAGATTCATGTTCATAATCCAGACAGAATCCGGGGATGTAGCGGGGGGTTCAAAGTTGAGAGTCGGATTATGGCGGTGTAGCGACACGAGAATCGACACAGAATCGACACAGAATCGGACACATAATCAGCCCATAATCGCCAACTTTGAGGCCCCCTATTGTCTAGCTCATCGTCTGGTCCAACGATCCATCTGATGAGCAACATAGGCGCTGATCCGTATTCAGTGCACGACGCGTCTTTTGAACGCTGATTGGAAGCAGGTAACGTAGGGTCATCAATGTAGACGTAAGCTCGACTGGCGGCCAATTTGCAGCGCAGTGCACAGAAGGTTGAGGTGAGTATTACAGCGGTCGCTGCGCTGCGCTGCAGCGGGACGGATCACGGTGCCGTAATGTGGCTGTAACATCGTGTGAAATGCGTTTATATTTGGATCACTCCTGGCACTGGACACTCCGCTCGTCCTCTAGCAATGCATGGGATACAGAACTACCACTGTTCTTCAACAAACAAGGACTGGATCCGCACAAACATCTTTCTGATGGTCTTCATATGCTCACCGGGGAATGCTGCAGTTACATGTTACCACAATTATCGACGCGATTTCCGGACCCTCATCCTACAACCTCCGACAAGGAAAAGTATCTTAGGCATGCATGTAAGACTTTCGGAGCTGATCGTCTTACAGCGCCTGGACTGCGGTGCATGGGTGAGTATCGACCTGATGGACTTCCGCCAAAAGAAGGCGTATACGATTGATTACACGACAGATCGAAGGTGCGCATCATCAATTCCGTATGGACTGCGATAATAATACTTGTCCAATCGTGAGGTTGAGTTCGTCATCCTCGATACGTTGCCTCAGAATCTGTCTGGTTGATTTATATACGCCGAGATTCCAAGATCATACCAGATGCAATGCTTTACGGTACGATAAGATTACGAGTAAAACACATGCATATCGTCGTGCCCGCCGAGCACTTCGGAAGACTGTTATCCAATAACACGTGAAACCCACAGCCTCTTCAACCCATCATGAGCGCACAGTTTCACAAAATACGGAGCTGTCCGCCCTATACTTATCTTCCTCCTCCTCCACACCGTCCACACTGTCTTCAACCAGTGAACGGCAGCGACAGCGGTAGGCGAAGCGCCGCCATCAGCTCTGAATAATCCGCAGAACCGACATCACCGGCTCGGGCGACGACTGGACCGGAGGGACCCGATAGCGCCTCCCCAACATTTGTGGTACAAACATTTCAAGAGAGACAATATAAAGATGGCTGGAACGTCATCTTCGGCCGTCGCTCGGCGACCTCATTTGCAAGCTCTTCGCGTTATCCTGAGTCGACTGGACGTGCGTCTGCCGCGGGCCATGTCTCTCCTGTTCAGCGTGCTGAAGTACGCGCTTGGGCTGTTGCTGCTCGTCAACATACGGGCTATACCACTCAGTTGGCACTGTGAGTCGTCTGAGCAGTCCGTGTGCGCATGCGACAGAAGATTGACGCCGTTCAGTCCGCGTCTTTGCCCCCGTATTCAAGTTGCGATATCAGTGGTACCTCCTGGTCCTCAAGACCCTCTTCAAGTCTCCCGAAGAGAAGCTACAAGCGAAAGAGGAATGGTTGGAGAAGCTGATGCCGGTGGGCAAGAGCCCATTCGAGCTCGAGGTTAGGCATCAAGCGTGGGCCGGTGAGTGCATCCCGTCCCAGCAAGCAGTATGTGCGGATTCCTTACCGTGATATTGTGATTTATCAGGTCCGGAGGACTGCGACTACAACATGCACCTGAGCAACTCCTGTTATCCGAAGATCTTGGACCAAGCTCGCCTCAAAGCGGCGCTCGCGACCTGCCCCACCTTCTTCCGCGCCGGCGGGTGGATGCCGCTAGGCGCGACGCACCACCAGTTCATCCGCGAGGTCCCCATCTTTGCCAACTTCGAAGTGCGCCTGAGTATCGGCAGCTGGGATAAGAAATGGGTGCGTGTTCCGTAGCACGATCCCGTCCAGCGCAGTCTCCCTTATCCCAAGCCGCTCCCTAACAGTTGTACATCGTCGCGCGATTCGTCTCTCATCCGAAGAACAAGTCCAAGAAACCCCAAGCCATGCCCTCCGCCGCCCAAGTCCGCGCCACCCTGCAATCCACTGGCAAATCCGACAGCGAATCTGAGCTGCACGAGAACGTGCCGATGCTGCACACCCCCGCTGAACCCCTCGAAGCCGAGTCCAGCCCGTCCGCCACACCAGGGAGCGTCACCCCGAACCCGGCCGCGAACGCCGCCTACTCTTCCTCTCCTGCACCGACCGCTCGCGCACCCGCGGCCACGCCCGAACCCGACGGCGCGACACTCCACTGTATCGCCGTCTCCGCCATCTGCTTCAAGATCGGGCGGATCACCGTCCCGCCCGCGCTCGCGCTCGCCGCCGAGGGCTTTTCGCACGCTCCTCCCTCCTCCTCCACCAAAGAAGTCGAAATCGGCAGCTACTCGCTGGCTAACCCGCCGCCGCACTGGACCACCGTGCGCGCGCTGCGGCCGCACCCGCTCAAGCTGCGCGACTTCCGCAAGTTCCTCTCCGGCGGCTGGCGCGAGGTGTCGGAGAGCGAGCGGTGGTGGGAGCAGGCGCTCGGCGCCGAGGTCGAGCGGACGAGGGCAGAGCGGTTGCCGAGTTTCGAGGGGATCAGGAAGGGGTTGGAGGACGCGAGGGAGTACCGCACCTAATTCACTTATGCATACCTACACACGTAGACAATGTTAGATTAATTTGCCCGCAATGTATCGTTTCATTTTCCGTGCTTGACGCTACTGCGGGCTCCGATAGCTCGTCAAATTCAGTGGTCTACCTAAAGGTTGAAGGATATCGACGTGATTCATTCCCCAAAAATTACACGTAGTGATACAGTACTATACAAATCTCGTTTGCGGTTCCCGATTTCCGTCGCTTATTGCACAGTACCAGCCTTCAACTGTTTCCCTTCCTCAACCTTGTCGTGATTCCGACCAAGCTTGCCCGACAAGATCTTCACCTCGCCCTTGATCTTGCTCATGAATCCAGATTTATGCGGCGAAGCTTCGCCGGACGACGCCGAAGGCGCGCTAGTAGTCGACGTGGTGTCGAGCGGAGCCGTCCCGTTCGCCTTGCCCGGCGCGACAGCCGCGGCCTTCTCCACCTTCTGCTTCACCGCCTCCGTCTTCTTCGTCGGCGCACTCTCGTCTGGCAACTTAGCCACGCCCTGCTCGTCGACGCGCCCCGGCAACGCCCCCACACCCGCCGTCTTCTCGCTCGGGCGTACGCCCTCCGTTTCCGTAGTTGGTAACGACACGCCGTCGAGCTTGGCCGCGCCCGAGTGCAGGGTGGTATTGTACTCGCCCGGCGCTTTCGCAACGCCTTCTTCTCCTACGCGACCCGGAAGCGGGCCGACGCCAGAGGTTTTCTCGCCCGGGTACGCGCCCTCGGTCTCACTCGTCGGGAGCAACACCTTCTCCTGCGGGAGGACGGCCACACCTGTCTCGGCAATAGTACCCGGAAGCTTGCCCGCGCCTGACGAGCGCTCGTACTCGCCCTGGCCTGCAACCTCGTCCGTGGGGAGAGACGTAGCGGGGGCGATGGCGGTGGTGGTCGTGCCGGTACTGGTAGCGCTGGCTACTGTGCCCGTAACTTTGTCCTTCGCGCCCTGAGCAACGCCGACTACTGTACCTGCAGCAGCTCCGGCGGTTGCGGAAGCAGCGATTCCGGTTTCGGCGAGCTTCTGCCTGGCAGTCTCGAGCGCAGTCTGTGCTTGGGTGGTCGCGGTACCGCTGCCCGCCTCACCGGGGATACGTTCATCGGGGAGCTTCGATACTGCTGACTCAGTTATCGCGCCTGGGAGCGCTCCGACTCCACCGACGTGCTCGCCAGGGAGATGACCAGCGATTTCCTTTGATGGGTAAGAGGTGGTGTGTGTAGCGTCATTGGCGGACGCTTGGGCGGTGCTCGGGGCGGCACCCGGGACGTATTGGTTAATAGTGTCGGCGACGCCGGCGGGGAGGTACGACGCAGCGGTCTGGGCGGCTTTTCCGAGCGAGTCCTGGATGGGAGCCCATGCGTTCGATACCGCGGAGAACTGCAGGCGAAGGTTTATGAGTGGCGTCACTCATGACTGATGCTCAACATTCAACTTACGTTCGCCTTCTCGTCTGCGGGCGTCAGGCCCGAAGAGGGATACGAGCCAGGGAAATCCGTTCCGGGGGTCTGCGGCTGCGCGGGAGGCGCAGCATGAGTTGTCGCTTCGGCGTACTTCGCGTCAGTCCGGGTCGCAGGCTGGGAAGGATCGTATGTGGACGCGTCGGTTAGTGGCTGAAAGATCCTTAGGTCAGCCTCTCACCCTGAGCCTTTTAGAGAGTACCAACCACAATGCCGGACGAGCCTGTGCCGGTTGCTTGCTGTGCGGTGCCTACAGAGGGCATGCTGTTTTCGCCGTGTGCAATCGGCCGTTCCGACTCGGTCGCTTGAGAAATCGTCTGCGACGCCCATTCCTGAGCCGGGGTGCCTGGAGGAGGCATCGAAATGTTGGGTGCAGCCATTGCGAGGTTGAATGAGTTGGTCGATAGAGTGGTGAGACAGGGACTATATCGTATGATGGTCGGGCGGTCGTGGTCATAAAAGTAGAGGTGCTACCTTCCCTCCCCCGCGCCGGCTTATATGCATGGTTTGGCGCCTGGAAATGGTAGCATGACGCCAAGATGGAGTGCGTAACGCGAGCAGAGCCAACAGCGTGGGTGATGTCATCTTCGGGCACAGCGTTGGAGCGCGTTCACGAGTGGTGGCGTACGCTCTAGAGCATCGACTTCAAGCTTCCGAATTTCAAAGCTTCACTGAGCGAGGATTCTTGCTACTGGGTCTGTCGAAAGACGTGAGCTGGAAAATTGGACCGCTTCATGCATGTTGCGCGTGCGGACTTTTATCTAGCAAAGTCGTCTCGAGCAGCGCAATATTGGTTAACCTGCAAACGATGGCGCGGAAGAACGTTCGATTACCAGATACACTGATACATCCATAGGTAGCTTGGAGAACACTGTCACTGATTGTGCGCGTGAATCAGAGAGCGTCAGTGGGGGGAGGGAGAAAGGACAAAGCGTTGGTGGTCGGCGGGTTGTGAGCGTGGCGGTGCACATCCGCCTCGAATATCTCTCTCTCGAAACGGTCAGATTGGTGCAAAAAGGCACTGGAACTAGTTCCTGCTTCGCCAAGACATGTGCCGCAGCTATCTGGAACAGCTGGCAAGACAAACATCGAAGGTATGCGTGGGTCGCCACAGGGATCTGCGATGATGCACACAATGCGTGCGAACGACACTGCGCATCTCGAGTCTGATTGGGGAGACTACATACAATCCATCTCAGGTTACTGTCAGGTTCAGTCTTGACTTCGGGAATCATATGCGCCCGTTTGACCACAGCACCGCAACTTGAGGCGAGAACAGCTCAAGATGCTTGCAGTTGCTCTGAAGACGCCCTCAAACACTTGCGCCCAGTTCCCGAGGTTTCCATACGGTACGCTCTCCTGCATGAAGTCTATATCGCGCTTTAGAAAAAGTATTCCTCACGAGTTGGTTGAGACACCTCAAAATTCAAATTTCAAAGCACGCGCGCCGGGCGTGCGAATGAGTACGTATCTGCCGACAACCTCTTATCGCGAACCATTGACCAAACCAAATATGGCTCAGATGCTGTTTCTCCTCCCCGCACTCGTCGCTATTCCTGGTTATATTCGACATTCCAATATCTCCTCCCGGTGACTTTCATGGGCGGCTGTACCTGGGGTTCCCCATATCACTGGCATTACTCCATCCCTTCCAGGGGTCTCTGCGGAAAACAAGCTATTTAAATGGTCGCGCGGGCGGTATATGTGTTCCGACCTTCGCGTGTCTTTCAACTACTCCGGCACCTCCATGCCCCGCGGATCCCGCTCGCCTGTCTCATCCGAGTTTGTCTGAGTCCGCCAAATCTTCGACGCCGCCATCAGTCGCAGTAATCGGCAAGATCTTATAACGTGACAAGGAACGTGGTGTCTGCGAGGAGTCCCTTGCCTTATGGACCTCGACTTCGATGTCTTGAACGGGTACTGGCAAGCGCGATGGGAACGATATTGCCAGCGTATGTTGATGCCATGGGCCAATCCAGCCCCGCTAGACGTTTCGCGGGGACTAATCCGTATACGCAGTTTCTGCTGCTGCCCTGATTCTGTATGAGTATCGTGAGTCTCGCTTTGTATCGTCTTATCGACCGGCTGATGCGAGATGTACCATCCTTACCCAGTGCTCCAGTTCTCGGTCGAAGTCGAGCTGTTCTGGAAGAAAAGATGGTCATTGGGGAAGGCTATCTTCCTGTGGAGTCGGGTCTACAGCCTTGGCTTCAACATCGGGAACGCCAGCGTGTTCATGCAAGAACATGCCACGTACGACGTGAGGACGAACACTTTGTTGCCGGGCCTCATTCGTAAACTGACCTTGAGCATGTCGTAGTTATGCAACCGTTTCTTTCACTGGCAGAACACCGGAGCGTCCCTGCAAGTTGTCACGACGCATAGTGAGTCGCGGCTTCCGTTGATCCCACTCGAGTGCCTCACGCGTGGCACTATATAATCCGATCACAGTCATCCTCGAGATGCGGCTATATGCAATGTACCGGTCATCACATTACATCCTTGCCTTACTCGTCTTCCTCGAGACATGCGAAGTGATCGCAATCGGCGTCATATTCGGCACGACGAAGCCAGGTCAAGTCGGTGAGCACAGTAGCAACTCGACATGATATCGAAATTATCTTGATTTCATGTAAGGTGAAAACAACCCTTTCCCTGGCCTCCGTATCTGTGCGGATGCGGACCCACCTCATCTGCATTGGATCGCATTCTACTGGACTGCGATACTGTCCATTGAGGCGATTTTGATGGGCCTAGCCATGTATAAGGTACGCTGCACCATGCGACGTGACTCGGTGGAACCTATCACGAATGGATTTATCGGCAGGCGTATGAAAACTACAAAACTGGCATAGGAGGCCCGCTTATGCGGTCGCTCAGCCGGGAGAGTGTACTGTACTTTATGGGGTGCGATCTCACCTCTGTCACCGAGACGTGTCGGTTACGCTGACAGTTACCTAGTATATTCGGGATCTACCTTCTGAACCAAATCTTATGGTGGATCAATCGGATCACGTTGAACGAATTGGCGACGGGGTTCAGCTTCGCTGTCTCTGCAGTGTTTGCTAACCGGCTCATGATCAGTGTAAGGGTGCTTAACGGGTGCTGTGTACGCTCGCTTTACTGATGCATTCACAGGTGCGGCAGCATTACTACAACTCTGAGATGGAAGAAGACAGAACGCAAATGACCACCTTGCGGTTCGGACGAGGACAAGCAGGGACGATGCATACGTCCGGTGGGAGCGATGGGAGCGCAACCCTTGCTGAGGGTCCGGTTCTCGTTCTCTCTGCAGCACCAAAGCTTCAGGACAACGCCACTGCTGAAGCGCAGGATCGGCCCATACTCATACACGATAACGAGGCGGGTGCCGAAGACCACCAAGCTGGGGCGTTTCATCCCTTCGACCCGGAGCCCGTCAAGTTGAGCTCGGTAGACTTCGACGAGAGGATGGGTTTCTGATGACATCGTTTACTGCGTGGAGATCATCTTGTATGTATGTACTATATGTACGTTGTAGAATATGAATGCGTCTTGGTTGGGTCCCCTGTAGTCCTATATTGACTATATATGGACTGCGGTTTGTTTGGGGTAAGGCAACTTGGCCGAGTTGGTCTAAGGCGCTAGCTTCAGGCTCGTTCTTGATTGCTAGTCTCGGTTTCGGGGCGTGAGTTCGAATCTCACAGTTGTCAGACGTTTTCAACGGTTTTTCTTCAGGCTTGCGTCAGCCTAAATTCAAGGCATGTCCTCAAGCCTCGTCTCAGTCTATGCGCTCTGGGCAATGAGCAAGCATGAGGGGTCGCGACGGTCAATTTTCATGGGAAGCTGTACCTTCGTACTCTTGACTTCGACTTCACTGGCTGTTTCCCCCCCGCTGCTGCGCCTCTATCTATTCCCACGAGACAGTTTTTCGTCAGGTCTAGACGAAGATCTCGCCGGTGCAGTAATATCGCGCTCCAGTTCTCAAGTCAATGTAAGACCTGCGTATGTTCTGTGCGTGTACACGTGTCACCTGAGTCTTTCGCAGGTCACTTCGGGATGATGTTTCCCATTGTACGGTCGACGAGGCTCGCACTCCTGTACATGTCTTCGGGCAACAACGTCCCATACAGATCTTGGTAGGTAGGTAGGTATATTGCCGACGAGGTCCCGGTAGCGGAACAGCCGGTTGCTGCGCTGCACGTACGCCACTCGTGCAGTCGACAGCGTGCCATTGGAATGTCGATTTTTCACCTCAGGATCTCTTACCGAATGATCGCGGTTGCAGGTATCGTGGGCCTTGCCGTGCACCAGAACCCGCGATTTTCCCGCTGCATGGCTGTCCGCAGTTCTTATCGAACAGCATGACATGTACGGAAGAAACAACACAACACAGGACCGGTGCTGCACAAATATCAGGACCTCAAACCCATGCTTCTTCATGCATCGTACCAACCACGACACTCATATGCCATAAGAATTACGCGTTTCGATTCACGGTCTCCGCAGCAAGAAGAGCCGGCGTTGGCTTCAGGCAGTTTTTATTGACATTACAGCCTTTTCATTATCTATTCCCCGTTGCTCGAACTCCATCATCACGCTCTGCTCTGAACGTCTCTAGAATGGACGTTTATCGGACGTATGTGGCGTCATCCAAAGCTGGGTCCCGCGCGTACTTCTCGTTCGTAAACCTCTCTGACTCCAACTTGCTAGCACCTCGTCGTTCGGGATTATAATCAAACTGTGCTATGTACACAGAGAGCTTTATCGTGGACGCGCTTTGGTACGTGCTTGAGTTCGTGCTTCTGGAATTCTGGAGTTAGCATGAAGTCCAGGCGGGATCGCACAGTCTTCGCTTGGCTACAAATCAATGCCAGCTCCAATAATGAAGACATGGCTGTTGGTCGCTCGGCTCACAGCTCCGGAAGATGGTGCGCGGAGATCAGTTAGCGCAGGTCTGAAGGAGCAATATCTCGTGGTCTGTTTGACATTCCACTGCATGCGGGAGTCTCAATGGAGTCCGCGTCACACCGCGATACATCCACGCCTTATCACGACCAGTTCGACTTTGACGCACTCTCCTTCGCCTCAGAGTCTGATCTTACCGAGGACGGCCGAGTTGGGGCTGGGCGAACAGTGGACAATTTCCTTGGATACAATGACCACTATTGGAATCCCCTCCCTTCCCCTAGACTGTATCACGGCGATTCTCATTGCGCACGCTTCGTGGCACCATGGAGAGGGCTAGCTCATTCGCGATGGGTGGAGGCAAATGACATTTCAAATGGGTATACGCCGATTGCAGGCCCGTCGACCGTGACTCGTCGATGCTACATCGGACGGATCTGTCGAGCAGATGAAGTGGACAAAGATGGCTGCCTCTTTTTCCTGGATTCCAACTTAACGCCAGTCAGCGGGACCGCGCCGTGGACATCGATGAACGATTCCGGCAGTGTACATGGTCTATGCACCACGCATCGCCAGGCAGACATATACTGGGTGACGTTGTGAGTAGCCCGGCGCGCGTTTTACGAGCCTGCGTTGCTCACGACCGGCGTCTAGGGACGGCGTGAACCACGCATTGTCCACGAAGACACTTGCGCGCCGTCGTGAATGGGACGTGCATGACTTGCTCAGTTGTGACACTTGCTTGTGGGAGTGGCGTCGTCATTGGCCGGCATCCAGCTGCCCGTGATCATAGCTTAGCCCGACAGCAGCGCAATCCTACCGGAGTGCGTTTGGGGAAGTCTTTAAGTGCATGGGAGGTGTATTCTGCTGTAATTCGCGTAGTGCTTAGCTCGGTGTAACGATAAACTGCATGACATCCGCCCATGTGGTCCATCAAGAAGCCGTAAAGTTACGTCTGACGATCCGCCGTCAACAAAAGGCTCGTTCTGCCAGACCCATATCCGTGTCAGGGCACAAGACGATCATTCGGTCTACTATCTTCTTCTCCGCTTCTCCGGAACTCTTGGACTCGCTGGCGCAATATCCGGAGATGCCGGTGAAGAAGATGTAAGGGTTGTCTCAGACCGTGGCCCGGAATACGGTGGGGGCATCTCCGACTCCTGCGTAATCAACTTGGTTGGGCCCGCCATGACCGCGGTCGAAGAGATCATGTACGGCGACATGATGGGTGTTTCGACTTCGTCAGCTTGCGTCGGGAGTAAGCTGACCCTGCGTCTGCGTCGCTTAATTCGTCTGCACAGGAAGAAGATGCCGACCGCCACGATAGCCAGTGAAACAATGGTTCCCGCGACCGAGCCACCAACGATGGCGCCTACATTGATCTTGGAGTCTTGGTGGGCAACAGTCGTCGATGCAAGAGATGTACTCGAGGAGAAAGACGAGGAAGAAGACGTAGACGTGGACGACGAAGCGGTGTGTGAGGAGGTGGGACTACCAGACGAGGTTTGTGCGCTCGTCGAAGTGACATTTGGACAACGCGAGAAGTTGGGAGCGGGATTGGACGAGAAGTCTGCTTGTATAGATTCTCTCGAGAACGTATAGAACCTGGGAAAGGATGAGGCTATCGTCAGCATTAGAAATGTGACTGCACTTGCCATTCGCCATCGAGCCAAAAGCTGCTGTACAATGCAGCTGGTATGTCAATTTGCTGGCTGCACACGGCGTCTTGAACATTAGCAGGCAGGGTCTGATCGACCGCCGATGCGCTACAACTTCCGAGGTACTGCTGGTAGCCGCCCACGCCCGCGTCTATGCCGTTTGGAGCCGAAGATGCGTCTGGCGCTTTCTGACAGCTGAATCAGATCAGAGGTCAGGCAGCTCGTTGAAAGCTGGATTCGAATGCATGCACGAAAAATATCGCACTTGAAACAGAGCATTGAGAGCGCCCACGAGACGGAGTTGCAACAGCAGTCCTGCACCTGGCTTGTATCGCAAGTGTCGCCAGGGGTGGTATCGGCGAAGTCACCGACTTGATCTATGATTCCCATTGGGTCAGCATGAGTGGGTTCGTATGCAACGACACCCGAAGACTCACAGCTGGTATCGCAAATCTGACGCAGTCGCTGGTAGGTTGTGCATGGTGTTTCGCCGACTTCTTGGCTATACCAGTCGGTCTGGTTCGTGGCGCAAGTTGTGCCTGCTGCAACAAGGGCCGGTATCGTGAGTAATTGGAGGATACGTAGCATGTGATGCCGGACTAGCGGAGGAGGTAGGGGGATAATGACAGGGGAAGGTGGAAGAGGACTGGACGATGCAACGATAGCTTCGCAACAAATGCAAATGCTAGGGCGTTCATAGCCATATACATATCCCGATTGTTGCCAAGTACGGGGGCTTGGGCGCGGTCTTTGAATGGGTCGGCAAAGCGCCCAGCGGAAGAAGAGCGGTCATATCAGACTGTGCAGTTGAAAGCTCCGCCTTCGCATGATGGCAAGATAAGTTTCTACCACGTACTGTACTTTTACGACCGTAAGTTCGGCCAGGTCGGAGGGGACCCCCAAGTTCGGGGCCGTGGGGAAGTTCATCCGCAGCCTGCCCGGGGGACACGTGCTTACGAGGTCAGATTCATCGATTTTAAAGGTAATTTACTAGAGTCTAATCAACAAGTGTACCATGCACGTCTGCGCCTCCCGGCCCCATACTCAAGCCGAGTACTACACCCAGTGCGCGCGGCTGTCGAATGATGTCTCAGCCAGTACTCGCACCCCGGTCACCCGTCCGCGCGAGACCTCGACGGGCCCGATAGCCTGCGGGTCAGTGACCGGGTGTCTTCCCCCCTGTCTTAATGGCGCCGCTGCGCTGTCTCAGATTGCCTGGGCATATAGAACAGCGGTCGAGCGGGGAACATTGCCGTTGCCCCTCTCGCCTCGACTGTTGCTCGCCCAGGTAAAATCTTCTCGTCGTCTTCGTGTCCCTCTCGGCCTGACCAGGCTGTTTTCTCGTATAGCATACATTTTAGTTACGCCTCGACTGTTGCTCGCCCAGCATACATTTTCGTTACATCCCGCTCGCGGCGTGAACATCGATCATCCTTGATCTCACTTATGTCATCTGAGCATGAAAGAGAAGGGACAGAAGACTCACCACAAGTTGCCAACGCGGCCTCTGTCGACACAGAGCTTACGCAGAGTTGCCTCGAAGTCGTCGATCGGTTTCGAACCAGCGGGAGCACAAAGGCCGATGCTGTCATTCAGATCGGAAACTTGCTTTTCCCAGCCAGCGAAGCCGGGTCTGCTACAGAGACTCACCGATCCGCCTTCAATGCGTACCTCGAAATGCTTGACCGGGTCAGCATGCAGCGAAAGAGGGCGCAAGATATCGGGCAACCTGAGGGATCAGTCAGCGGCGAGTCAGTCGACCGAGACCACGAGACAAACTCCGAAGCGGAGACTCGAGACGACGGACCTAGTCGAAAGAAACAACGCACCGTTGAAGAAGAGGTCGACGAGTTGCTCGCCGGCGTTAAGCTGGACGCGGCAAGCCTGCCCTGGGTCCAGAACGACACCTCCATCATGCTCCCAACGACACTGCGACAGACCCAGGAGACCCTCCTCAACTTCGCCAAGGATTATAAACTTGCGAAGCGCCTCCTTGTCAACTCGCCTCGGTGCCCGCAGTTCCCAGATGCCGAGTGGGATAACATCCTCAAAGGCCGGCCCGTTGACTTTGACAGAGTCCTATCCGGAACATTCTCCATTGCCTTCAACGACAAGCAAACCGAGAAGATTGGGGAAATCGAAATTGCCGTCGGAGCTGCCGCGCCTGCAAAGATTGTCAGGACACACGGAGAGTGGACGATTGCTTGGGAACAGTATGTCGCCGCCATCACCTTCGTCTTCCCTTGGCGCACCTCCGAGCTTCATGGCTATGGACAGTCTGTCCTCCGTCTATTCTCCACAATCATCCCATCTCTCCACAACCGCGTCATTTGCTATGATAAAGCAGTCCGAACCCGTGTCGCGCAACGACGCGACTTGCTACTCACGGATGTCGAGGGATATGCCGACCTCAAGCTTGCATGGCTCAGTGAGCTCGGAGTTGGCCACACTGGGAATAGCTCCCCCCGTCACACCCTCAACTCTCGTGAAACCAAGCTGTCAGGGCACGGCTCCCACACTCGCCTCATGTCTCATTGTTCTCTTTTTCTGCTTCCGCTTCTGTCCCATTTCGTTCATTTCCCCTAATACTTCCGTCTCCCTATTCGGTCGGGCTCTCCCGCGCCCTCCTAGGCTTCCCGCGCCCTCCTTTTGGCATCTCCCCTATTTCGTTCCGTCGCTCGGTGCTCCTAGGGCCTCCGCACTCGACCGGCCTTCCTAGGCCGGTCCACCGGTCACGTGTCGGGCGCCCGAGGACCCTCCCCTTCTCTCATTGGACCATCTTTCGTTGCGTTGATGGATTACTCATCTACTATATAGTCGCCTGTCGCACCAGGGAGCAACCCAGAATTGTTCTCTCAGTTGCCTCCCTGCCTTGTGCGACAGGTATGTGTATTTCCCCC